ACGGTGAGTTTATAACGAAAGAAAAGTTATTTTTAATTATTTATTTCGAAAGTAATTTTGAACAATCTTGTACTCAGGTGAAGCTGAAATGTGTGCAAACGTTAAGAACGATATTTCTGCATCCAGAACGTAATATAAGTACTCCATACATCCACGCGCTTGCACCACGTCTGGTAGAATACTTGTATAGCGACAAGAGCAAGCAGGTGACAAACGATATGGAATTAACTTTTACATTAGAGTGCATCAGCACTGTGGAAGCCCTCATAGGACTCGCTGATCTCTCTAATCGTAAGTTATCTGAATTGAACCTGTAAACTTTTGTCATAAAATTAACGCTCGTGAAACATTAATATAAAATGTAATGCGATATGTGTTACACGCTATACAGGAGATGTATTACAAGGTGTGGTTTTCAATCTAATTTTTTAATGTGTTAATCAGTTATTTACTGTATATTTCAAATGAGTTTAACATACGTGTAATATTTCGTGAAATTACTAGGTATTCAAATGCTGACTTTGCTCGTACCAATTTTAATCAATTACTTACTGGAAGGGGACGAGCTCCAGCGTGCTACGAAATATCAAGCGAGCCTCCATCAGCAGAGTTTTCAATGGCTCAATAAGATCGGACCAAAGTATCCGCAGGTACAATATTTCGAAAATATGTTCTAATCTTGAGTGATATTAGTTGATCTAATGATTATTTTATTTTTTGTTAGGAATTTAAGACATTGATGTCACAGTCCACCGAGCTGAAAACGAAATTGGAGAACGCTGTAAGGACTAATCATCAGCAGGCACAACGGCACACGCGATCGGTCGATTCCGTAAAACCGCAGATCAAGATATCGACGCCATCGATCAAGTTAAAAACCGACTTTTCCAACTTCAACTAGAAGCAGATCGTATCTGCTGCAGATAAGAAATGAGAAATAATTTATTAAAACTTCGTAAGACTAAAAAACGATATTAATAATTTTATCGTAGATAAAACTCGATCGTGTTAATATGACTGATTTCACCCAATTATCAATTACCAGATAAATCGAATTAATTGTTGTTTACGTTTTAGCGTCGTGATAATTATAAAGTGATATTTCGTCGTTAGAGAATCGTACTCGACTGTACTTAGAAAAAGAGGATTATATATAGAAATTAGCAACATTACACGACGTATATAAAGGAATAAAATAATGAAAGGAATGGAGAAAATTGATGTCAGATGATCAATTAATTGCTACTATAAAATGATACTTATCTTACATTCTCTTCATCCCATTTTAACTTCTTTATTAGTACAATAACGTTCCTAATTTTTCATTGATGCTTTCCAAGAAGATAACTTTATATCAGACTTTCACATTGTATATATATCTAGACTTTTTAAGACACAACATATAGAGATTATTAATTTATTTAGTGATACAAAAATATTGATATATAGTATATTTTCACCTCACTATTTCGATGAAATTGTGAACAAAAACAAGTAACAGTTTAATTCCATGAAAAGTATGATGTTAAAAATTATACGACTGCAAATATAATATGCACAAAATAAGTTATAAAGATAATATAATATATATATAGATATTTCCGTGCTCATTTAAATCATTAATTTACGATTCAAAAGTTTCATGTTTAAACAATTCTTAGTGTTTAACTGACTGTATAATTAATAGAATTATTTATTAACAAATTATAGTCACATGGATTTCCTTGGGAAAACATTTGCCATAAAATGGACGATTAAAGATTATTATAAAATACAGACTGTTTTAATCGAGAACATATTTAACGTTCTTCTGACAAGAAGACTGATAACCTGTTATGTTTTTACTTAAAATTTTCAACACAGATTTTTAACAGATGCAAAGAAAGAAAGAAACATGTTTGATTTGGATAAAATTGAAAGTAAAGTGTAGCGATTTTATCGAACGAATGTCTGATGTAACATATCGAATTGTACTGAACATTTTTTTGTAATATCAGAATTTTTTTAAGAATAATGATCATTTTTTCAAACTGCAATACAATGTACGAGGAGCGCCTTCGGTAAATTAATATTACCGTGTAATACTGGGCATTACAGCGAAACGATCTGTAAAATTTAATAATTTTTTTGTATTCTTTGATCTTTGAACGTGCTAGATTGCAGCCCGATGTGAACGAAAAATAAGAATAAATCTCTGCGCGAAATGAGATATATGTATATGTAAATTAGAAGATATAATTCAGAAAGTGGGAACTTCGAATTTGACATTGGTCATATTACTGTATTTTCGCCTTGGAAAATTACAATAGGTGGATATGTAGATTAGGTACAAATGTTTAGACAAATTAGATTATTGCAGCAAGAATATTAATCGATGATTTTATATGTGAATTATGGAGTCGCGATTTTGTTATCCCGCAACAATGTCACTGCAAAATGGAAGGAATCAGCGAGAATTTATCATAGGGAATTGAATGCTTAAAGATTTCATTTTTCCTATCGCAGAGAAATTTTGCGTATACAAACCTATCTATCAATTTTCAACTTCCATTTCGAAGTTAGGCGGGACGAGTCTCGCGATGTCTGTATAAGTATGTCTGTGTAATTAAGTTTCAACTGCACGGTAGATCTGATGTAGTGTGTATAACTTTGTAGGACAAATTAGGATGAATTATAAATGTGAAATGAATTATGAGCTCGATAGAGATGTTCTACTATTTTTATATGGTTATTTTGGGAGCCCATTGAGATTGTTTGTAACTTTTAATTGCATGCCGTAAAATCGAGCACGGCCAATTATACATAGACTGTTTATCTGATCCACCGAACTTCCATGCACGTTTAAATTTTGATTGACAGGAATTCTTCTCCAATGAATATGGTACAATTATACGTAGCGTTGTATTACATAACTATTGCAGGTTTGGCAAAAATAAAAATAACTGATTAGCTAAATTAACTTAATCACGCATTCTGTTGTCTTGATAATCCCGTACAAAACTTTCGTTTTACGATTTTATCTTGCATATATTGTTTTATTTTCGTCAAGTAATGTTAATATTCCTGATAAAAAAAATTGATAGAGAACGATCCTATCATTTTGAATACAAAATCTGATTCGTAAATTGACTAATTTGAATCAAATCTCTTATAGGAATTTTGTACAAATCTTATAGAACTTGATAAAATACGATAGAATTCATAGCCGATCAATCGTGATATTCGTAAAGTCGACGATAGAAGATGATATAAACTTATATAAAACTGATAAAAATGCTATCGTTCTTAATCGTTCTCTATCAACTTTTTTTTACCAGGGATGGCAATTCAAAAATTATTCAATTCCCGAATTACCAAACACCAGATTCTGATGAAGTTTATCGGTCTGCGCCTGTCCTCTTTTTATTATAAAAGGGAGAACCTACTTGAGTAAAAAATACCCGAGTGCATGCACACTCGTTTTAAATAGTTTATGCGCGAATACAAAGGCCACGATAAAGACGATCGTATAGAGAACATGTTTGATGATCATGACTATTGTTACTCGTTCTTTTCACGATAATCCGCGAAATCATACGACGAGGAGTAGATTCGAAAATTTTTAACGCAATTGCGTAAATAAAGGCAAGGAAATTCCTACGTAGTGATGAATCATTTTGTAAACGCGAAACGAAGAAGGTAGATTTAAAATTGACGAAGGGGAGCTGCCGCCGTGGAGAATGAATAGAGGTAAGAATAAAATTACACAAATCACAATCATCATGCACGTGTCGATTCGTGACCGCGTATTAAAAATAGCACGGTGTGAACAATGTGATTGTGAACGTAATTATTTCATCGCTTGGATGATGAGGTAAAAATTTTCGTAAATATGTTTGCACGATCATCCTGCAACATTTACCATGCGTTCGTTTATCGTTTTAAAAATAAGAAAAGAATCCGTAAGCTTCAAGGACGCAATAAAGAGTAATTATTTATTCGAATGAATGGTTTTTGTCACTTATTAGTGTGGTGTTTTTAATTGCGCGATGTCTTCTGCGCCCGACTTCTATTGCCCCTTATTCTTTCCAATTTGTTTATAAAACTAACAATATAACAAAAAATGTTATGTAGAATATATCTTAACTTTTTAACACAACACTTGCAATGTTTCGCAGACTAACTGAGTGGAAAAATTTTTATATCATTTTGCAATTTTTACAATTAACGAGATATTAATTACTAAAGGTTACTAAATTAGCTATTTAGTAAAATAGCATCGCGTATAAATTTTATCAAGCAAACCAGAAAATTAAGATATAAATATATGAAATCGATTTTGTATTCAATATGGAGATATTCTATTATTTTTACATAAATATTTTAAGGATATACAGAGATTGTTTATAATTTATAAATAATAGTTTAATTTATATATATATATATATATATATATATAAAATTATTGCTTGAAATAAAAATTTACAAACCTTTTTACTTAAAACTAATAAAGAGAATTTTTACTTAATCTTTTTACTTAATTTTACGAAAACTTTTTTGTTATAGAATTTTGAGTTACAAATTTTGGTACACCCTATATATGTACATCTTATCTACTGAATAACTTTTATGTGTGTTTAAGTTGCGTACTGATTATGGTAGGAATTCGCTTCTCCGATGAAAATGCGACGTGTACAATAATTATTACATATATAGTGGTATATTACATAACTAACTATGGCTGTATATGGTTTCGAAAGTGAAATAAAGTAGATAATTGAGATAATAAGTTAATAGCATTTTGTTAATGTGATAATTCTGTTCGATATTTTTATCTTAGCGTTTATCCCGCTTTATCTAAAAAGGAAACTATATTAGTAAAATATAATTTAAACGGTTCTCAAATCACTATAGAAAACAGGTTTGTGACCTTTATTCCTTGCCCCCTCTTTAAGAGTTAGAACCTACCTGATAAAACGAGTGTCAAACGGTTTATGTACGAATATAAATAAGATCGTGGAGAACATGTTCAAAGCAGTGCAGCGAGAACGATCGTGAACAATTGTCGATTTATCACGACTGTCGTTATTCGTTTCCTTCGAGATAACGAAATCACACCATTCGCAATAACGAGATCAGACTCGAAGAGTGCTTGGATCCGAAAGTGTTCAACACAATCACGCAAGATGGTGAAGGCGAAGAAATACATACTGGTGAATTATTTCGTGAACGAAGCAAAGTCAACGGACCTAAAATTAGTGGAGGAGGAGTTGCCGCTATTACAAAATGGAGGTAGAAAAGATTACATAATCATATATTATGATCGTGCCCAGTGTGTTGCGCCTAGATAATTAAACATTATCTAGATATAGATAAGATAAATTACACAAAAATGTATCTTAGATAAGATAAAGATGATTTTACATTAATCTAGATAAAAAATAAAATTAAAAAAATTTTATCTAGACAATTTTTAAGATAATTTTATTTTTAAGTATAACTAATAGAGAGTAAAACGATTTAGGATACAAAAAAATGCTATTTCATATTTTTATAAATTTTTATTTTTTAAGAACAAAATAAGTTGTTCGAACATTTCGTCTGATAAATGATTTCTACACGTGTGAATTAATATTTATCATCTACAATTATAAAGAAACGCTCTCTTGGCACTGATGATGGCAATAATGAGTTATACTTAAAAATAATTTATTTAACGTGTGGATACAAATTAAGAATATCTATTTTCTTAAATTTATTTTCTAAATATGGAACCTTCTACTTCTTTAAATGACTGATGTCGCACTAATCTCAATTTTTCGTCTATAGAACGAAAAAAATTATCATTCACTCATTACTATTATATTACTGGAAGTTAATTTCTTATAATACTCTTGTACTACAATCTTATCCAATTTTACAATTATCCAAATGAGATAATAGATAACCTATATTCTTAATAATTCTAGATAAAGATAAGATAAAGTCATTTCTTCATCTAGATTAATTATTATCTAGATAATTTTTTATTGAAATAACAAAAAATACTGATTGTGCCTGTGAGCTAATTAATATAAATGCGTTACTGTATAAATGGATGGTTAACAAGCGCGATTGTGTTTAATTCAATTTCTTTTATCTCCGCGTAAACATCGTTTTGTGAAAAAAATTAATAAATTAAAAAAAATATTGGATTAGATTAGATTAGATTTTATTCAAGAGTCACAAACAGTGACAAATCAAATTTCGCACGACACGATAATCACTTATAATTGCAAAAAGAAATAATATAAATATTTCATTAACTGCGTGAAACATAAAGCTGTTAATTATATATATTTTTTGTGTATTGGTGCATTTGAAAAAAAAAATTTATAATATAAATATTGATACAGTTTTAATTTATATATAGTAAACAGATTATTGTATATATACCACACTATTTAAGAGAGTTTTATTTCATGGCAGATAATAAATAATAACTTACCGTATAACAGCACAAATGTCGATATGTCGACTGCAAGTCGACTTTGTTAAGTCAGGCTCTTCAGAGTCGACCGTAAGTTGACTTTACCATATACATATGTCTAACAAACGTCCCTCAAATGTCGACTTTAGGACATCTAGAAGTAGACATTTTTAAAATAGTCGACCTAAGTTGACTTTAAGTTGACTTGTCAAAAAGCCGCACATATATATGTAATATATATCCGCATGATGGCTAAAATCAGCTTACAGTCGTCTTTAAAGTGGGATATTGTATAACTTGGAGAGTCATACATTGTCTCTAAGTTGTCCAAATATTGTCAACATACGAACGTCTATTTTTAGATAGCAGTATAGGTCGACTCAAAGTCGACTTAAGTTGACTTTGTGCTGTTAGGATTATAATTCAGAAATTTATAATTCTTAGTTGGTATGTATTGGTTTTATTAATTATATATACATATATATATATATATATAAAATTTTATTATGCAAAAAATCATAAATTGAAATATATATTATATATTTACGTTATTATAAGCCATAATAATTTAAATTTGAAGTATTAATGTATAATAGTGCTCTTTTATTAGCACATGATATTAACACACTGCATAATAGATCGTCAAAGAATAGAATAATTAGCATCTAAAAATAAAAACGAGGCAAATGGTACATTATTAAAAATATGCAATTTTTTGTTCATTTTTAAAATATAAACTAATATTAATAATTAAATTATAAAAATCGGTACTGATAGTTCTCTTAATCTTCGTTAAGTTATAATAAATTATTTTGTGACAGTATTTATATCTTTCTATTTCTTTTAGAATATCTCGTGGAAACTGAATATCTTTCTGTTGATCCATACATGAGACCTTATGTGCGAGATCTCCCACTCGGGACCACGATGATTGGTAGTCAGGTAGCAAAGATCGTAGAATCTAAAAACCCATCCTTCCCAGTCGGCAAGAAAATCGTCGGAAACTTGGGCTGGAGAACTCACACAATTATCGATCCAAAAACCGAGGATCTGTTTTTCAAACAAAAACCGTATCTTTTGCCAGACATAGATGAGCTGCCGTCGTCTCTTGGTCTTGGCATGCTGGGAATGCCGGGGTAAAATTTTTATCAATATATTTATCCGATCGTCTTGCAATTATGTGCACATGCTTGTTATCATCTCTCACGCTATAGAAAAGCTATGTAAATTTAAAAGGCGCTGTAAAACGGAATATTTTTAATTTATCATTCGAACTTTGAGTTGTATGTAGATAACATAAATTATGAACCAAGCAACATTTAGCATTAAATTAGAGATTTCTATTTGAGATAAAAGTTCAATTCTTTCATGAAACATATATAAGAATATATATATATTTTGATGTCAACAACAGCAAAGATATACATATATAAATATATAAAAGTCATATATTAAATGTTGAATATTTTGCGATTGCTATAACACTATACAAAACATTGCCGTTAAGTCATGTGTGATACAGATGATTTTTCACGAATGGGTTATAGTTTGAAACTTTTTATATTTTATGCAAAAATGGTATACTTTTATCACTAAATTTTTCACGAACTTTCATATGCTACAATCTTTTATTGTCCTCGAATTTTGGAAAACCCTATACAATAATTTACAACTCTTTCTCTCTCTCTCTCTCTCTCTCTCTCTCTTTTTCTGTCATTCTTGTTTACAGTAACACAGCATATAAGGAAAACTGTAAACCAAAAGTCCCCTTCTTGGCTTTGTTAAAAACACTGAAGTGAATAAAAAATATTCTATTCTATTCTCAGTAACACAGCATATTTCGGCTTGTTGGAGATATGTAAACCGAAATCTGGCGAAACAATCGTTATCAGCGGAGCCGCAGGTGCAGTCGGCTCACATGTGGGCCAGATCGCCAAAAATCTAGGCCTAAATGTTATCGGCATATGCGGCTCCGATGAGAAATGCAAATGGCTTACTGAGGAAATGGGTTTTGATTTTGCTATCAATTATAAAACCATGCCAGTTGCAGCCAGATTACGCGAAGTTGCTCCGCAAGGCGTGGATTGCTACTTTGACAATGTACGTATATATTGATAAGAGATATTATGCCTTTTTTAAATCCAATTAAACACGAATTTTTCAATATGATAAAAAATAGCTATCGTGAGTTGTAATTTTCAAAGTTTTTATGTTACATAAAATTTTGTCAATACAATCTGTGATTAGTTATTGAGATCTAATCCACGCTTATTGAATTTGCAGGTCGGTGGGGATATCTCCGGTATAGTCATGTATCAAATGAATCTATTTGGTCGAGTAGCCGTGTGCGGCAGCATATCGAGCTACGACGCGGATACCTCGTCCTTGCCTAAATGCGCAATCTTACAACCTGCTTTAGTGACAAATCAACTGAAGATGGAGGGCTTTATTGTTAAACGTTGGTCGGACCGATGGAATGAAGGAATCATGCAGAATCTGCAATGGATACGCGAGGGCAAACTTCGTTACCGTGAGACCGTCACCAAAGGCTTCGAGAACATGTTCGATGCTTTCATTGGCATGATGCGCGGCGATAACATCGGCAAAGCGATCGTCCAGGTGTAGATATCACAATATCAATAGGCATTTCGAAATTTTTTTGTTTTAACTATTCCTGCTTACTCGCAATTCCACAACTGTATTTAGAATGTTTTCCATATTTATGAGAGACTGAAAAAAATAAGTCTTGAATTTTGTATTCTCTCTCTGTTTTCGAAGATAATAATCGTACATTTAGATTGTAGACATACAAATTTTGTAAGGAAAATCAGGATGAATTATTATATAAACATCAAATAGAGTTTTATATACTCGATAAAGATATATTCTACTATTTTTATATGAATATACTTTATATTACTTATATATATTGTATACTTATATACTTTATATATAATACTAAAGGATCTATTAAGATTGTTTAGAACTTTAGAATTTTTAATTGCGTGCCACGGAAAGAGTATTATATATACACATACAAGATATACATTGTATATGTTTACAACTTATTCATTGAAATGTACGTTAAGTGAGACACTCTGATTAGCAGAACTTTTATGTCCAAAGAATATAATATCATATAATTATTATACGTAAAATATATTATATAACTAATTGTTGTAGTTTCGATGAAAATAAAGATAGTTTTAGATAAATTGATTCTAATCGCTTGATTCTAATCTGTTAATTACTGAACAACATTTTCTGATAAGCTTTATCTGTAGGTTGACGAGAGGGAGGATTGACATTAATATTTTAGACTATTCTTTCATTATGCGTTTTTATTTTCGTGTTTTATAAGATAAATGTTGTTGCTCTTATTTTGTTTTTAGTTATAAAATTGTTCATTAATAATTCGAAATCTAAATCTTTGGCAATATCCTGATACACGTGTAAAATTGCTATATTATTTGAACATTTTTGTAACATTGTTGCTCGAAGAAAATTTTTTAGACGCGGAAAACGACCTTTCGTTATAGAACACGGAATTGTTAATAGTATTTTAATTAATTCAGTCAAACTAATTATTTGTTAATTAAGTATTAGTTAAGTGTTTATGAAGTGTTCATTAAGTGTTAATTTAGTGTTTACTTCTGACGAGGTTCTGACGTATGTATGGAGTTCCATAGCTTAGAAATTTGTATGTATGGAGTGCTCCAGACCGACCCTACTGAAATCGCCGGCTCTGGTTTCTATACTTACTCCCACTTTAAGGCTACGTTCAGAAAGCGCGCTATTAGCGCCATTTGTGTAATAAATACTATATCCTTGTCTCATGTCTAATAGACAATGAAGACAGAATGACATAAATAGCGCTGATAGCGTATTCCCGAACGCAGTCTAGAGCTTATCTGATTGAATCCTATATATCTATATCTGAGCGCGTTTGATTAAATACTTCATGTACTTACGAATATAAAGATCATGGAGAACATGTTCAAAGCAGTGCGACGTGGTCTGTCGTGAGCTCATTGTTGGTGCTTCATCACGCGATTGTCATTATTCGTTTCCTCTTCGTGATAATAGATATAGTAATAACGAAATCATAGCGACGGGATTGAACCTAATTACGGAATTAGAAAGTGTTGAACACTATCACGCAAAATGGTGAAGGCGAAAAAATACGTACTGATAAATTATTTCGTGAATCAACCAAAGCCGACGGATCTAAAATTAGTGGAAGAGGAGTTGCCACCGTTGCAAGATGAGGGTAAAAAGATTAAATAATTGTATTGTAAGATAAAATAGAAGTTAAATTTATTTGAATTTTATTCTCATTTTGCATCTTTCGTCAACGCTCGTGAGCGTATCAATAAACGTTATTGCAAATAGGAGGTGTGATTGCCAGTGCAATTGTTCAATTTGGCTTTTTTTTATTTCTCTTCGAACGTTGTCCTTTAAAAAAATAATTAATAAATTAATTTCTCATAGATAATCCAGTTTTGATATAAACTAAAAAGTATATCATTACATACACCCTCAAATGTAATATATAATAGAATGAATTGAGAATTCTTAATTTGTATTATTAAATAAGATAATTTATTATTTATTAATAAATTGTATTTGTTATCTTATAAATCCTTTACATTATAACTTTGTCAATATGTGTGAAGTATGAATTTTTACAGAGTTTCTTATCCGAGATTAGATTTTATTCAAGTACTTTTAATTTTTTTATTATACGACTATCTATTTTATTAATTGGCTTTTTAGTAAACGAGGACGAATATATTTGAAATTAATTGAAATGGATTCAGATATATTCAGAAGTACGCTTTCGCGAACGTTGAAAAGAATCATTTTCAATTTCTACGTATTTTAATTTATTTATAGCGAATTGCGAAAAATATTTAAACTGCATGTAAATATTTTTAATTAAAAATATTTACGCATTTACATAATAAATAAAATTTCAAACCATTTTAATCCATTCTCATTTATTAGGTCATTATATGCATTAACTTTGTCAACAATAAGATATTTATATTTAAAAATAACAAAATTTCGATTAAAAAACACAAATAAATACAGTGCATGACATGACAATACTTTGTGCGTGCGTGCGTGCGTGCGTGCGTGCGTGCGTGCGTGCGTGCGTGCGTGCGTGCGTGCGTGCGTGCGTGCGTGCGTGCGTGCGTGCGTGCGTGCGTGCGTGCGTGCGTGTGTGTGTGTGTGTGTGTGTGTGTGTGTGTGTGTGTGTGTGTGTGTATACACATATATACGATTTTATTGCAAAAAGAAATTTAGTATGAATGTTTTATGAACGCAACATAAAGGCGATAATTTTACATGTTTTTTTATGCGTTATAGTGCAATTGCAAAATAATTTACATATAAATATTAATACAGTTTTAATTTATATGTAATTAAACGAATTATTACCACCAGATTATGGCATTATTAATTAAAAATTTTTACGATAGACAATTTACAATAAAAGTAATATAATACAAAGTAGCTTGTTAGAGAATCGCTTAATTTTCTTTTAACATTTTCCATCGCGTAATACATTACTTGCAATTTTTCGAACTGTAATTACCTATGCAAAATATAAATAGTTCTGTCATACAATAAATCATAAATTGAAATATTGTATGTTTATATGTTGAGTCATAATTTAAATTTCGAAGTATTAAGTCATTTGCTTTATCAATGCTATACAGTGTAAATAACTAAAGAAAGGATAATTATAGCATTTAAAAAATAAAAACGAAACAATAGTACGTCATTAAAAATATGTATTTTTCTTCATTTTGAGATATCATAGTAATTAAATTATAAAATCAGTACTGATATCTCTCTTAATCATAAATATTAAATTTATCGCGGTCATGATGAATTATTCTCTATGATATTATTTATATCTTTTTTTTTTTTTTAGAATATCTCGTTGAAGCTGAATACTTTTCTGTTGACCCATATATGAGACTTTACGTGCTAAACTTTCCACTTGGGACTACAATGATTGGTGGTCAGGTCGCCAAGATTATAGAATCCAAGAACCCGACCTTCCCGGTTGGTAAGAGGATAGTCGGATACCTAGGCTGGAGAACTCACACAATTATCAGCCCAAATATCGACAACTCGTTTGCCCAACAAAAACCGTACCTTTTGCCAGACATAGGTGATCTACCGTCGTCTCTTAGTCTTGGCGTGCTGGGAATGCCTGGGTATAAAGATTTTTGTCAACACATTTGCTCGATCACTTATTTGCTTATCATCATTTTGCGAAGAAACGAGTAAAATTTAAATAGACTCTATAAAACCAAATATTTGTCGTAGCGATGATTTGCATTTAAATTTTGGGTTTTGTGGAAATCATATAATATATCACAGCTATGAACCCCGCCCCAACTAGTAGTATATATTAATTAGAGATTTCCGTTTGAGATAAAATTTTATGAAACATATAAGTATATTTATTTCTGACGACAATAACGAAGAAAAGATATAAAAAGATGTAAAGATATAAAAGTCATTAGGATCTGCAGTCCGTTTGACGTGCAATGATACTTATTAGACATTGGATATTTTGCGATCACAGATACTATAAATAAAACATTACTGCTGTAAATGTTATCGCAGCCATATGTGATGCAGATGATTTTTTAACCAACGATTAGGATGGCTTATTCTGAACTTGTACCTTTCTATATTTAAAAACTATTTTAAGAAAAAAATGGCATACACTTTTATTACTCAATTTTTCACGAATCTTTATGCTGCAATCTGATTTTCCTTAAAGTTTGCATACACCCTACATGCAATAAATTATTTATAACTCTTTCTGTCTCTTTCTCACTTTCTTTCTTTTATTCTTGTTTATAGCAATACCGCATATTTCGGCTTGTTGGAGATATGTAAACCGAAATCTGGCGAAACAATCGTCATCAGCGGAGCCGCAGGTGCGGTCGGCTCACACGTGGGCCAGATCGCCAAAATTCTGGGCCTAAATGTTATCGGTATATGCGGCTCCGACGAGAAATGCAAGTGGCTTGTTGAGGAAATGGGTTTCGATTTTGCCATCAATTACAAGACCATGCCAGTCGCAGCCAGATTACGCGAAGTTGCTCCGCAAGGCGTGGATTGCTACTTTGATAATGTATGTATATCATGCTTTTTTTATTGAACACGAATTTTTTATTAAACGTGATTTTTTTTAAATATGACCAAAGATAACCATCGTTTGCTGTAACTTTCAACATTTTCATTTCATAACTATAATCAACACGACTATCAACGATTAATTACTATTATCCTGCGCTTCCATAGGTCCATAGAAAATTTGTATTAAATCAATTTGCTTTATGGACCAAAAGTTTTTCTCTCATAATGATTATTTTTGACATTCCTAACGATAACGATCATCATACAATAAAAAAGAATCGTTTAATGGAAGTTCGTAGGGGGGCACAAAAACAGTTCTAATTGGCCCGTTTTCTTTTTCTTCCTAACGCTTGTTGATTTTGCAGGTTGGTGGAGATATCTCCGGTATAGTCATGTATCAAATGAATCTATTTGGTCGAGTAGCCGTGTGCGGCAGCATATCGAGCTACGACGCGGATACCTCGTCCTTGCCTAAATGTGCAATCTTACAACCTGCTCTAGTGACAAATCAACTGAAGATGGAAGGCTTTATTGTTAGACGTTGGTTGGATCGATGGAATGAAGGAGTCATTCAGAATTTGCAATGGATACGCGAGGGCAAGTTGCGTTACCGTGAAACTGTAACAAAAGGTTTCGAGAACATGTTTGATGCTTTTATCGGCATGCTGCACGGCGATAACACCGGCAAAGCGATCGTCCAGGCATAGATATATATATTAATGCACGCGCGTTCAAGCTGGACAAAGATGCAGCTAAAACCTACTCGTCGCGAGCGATTGAATGCGAGTGATTAATTGAATGATACTATAAGTAACAATCCATTATATTCAATAATCATTTGCTCGGCGAGAAGAATTTTATAATTGCATTTGCAATGTTTTCTATATTTTGGAGATGGAGATAGAAAGAGAATGGGTTTCGAATCTTTCGTACTTAATTATTTTCAAAGATCCTTAATGTTTTTAAATAATAATCAGGCGTTTAGACGTTTAAAGAGCCGGAATTAATTAGCGTAAGTTTGGGAATTAAAAACGTTTGTTTGCGTTTCGTCCAAAATTTGACGATCCGTGTGATCGAAATAAAGAGAGAAAGAGAGAATATATGGGTAAACGTTGGAACGGACGCTTTGTATCGCAGATGCACGCACAAAGGCAAATCCTGATGTTTGATCAATAAAAATGTTTTATAAAACCTTTTTGTTTTTTTTCTTTTAAGAAAAGTTCCTATTACTAAAAAATTCCTGTATAAAATAATATAAATTATATAACTTGGTATATTATATGTTCGCGTATGAAATATATATATGTATATTTTCATATGTATAAGTTTCAATAATATTGAAAAAGTAAGCTTTGAATTTTGTGCTTTAACACTTCCAAACATCGCCTTTACATTTTTTAATATTAATCAAAATATTTAGGCATTTAAAAGACCAGTGTATACTACGAGTATATATACCATGAGATAAATGTTAAAAGTTTTAGTACTACATTTAGTGAATATTTATACATTTTCTCAGTATATATACATTATGTACATGTATATATACACACTAAAATTAAATATCTTTATAACGATTCTCTTTTCTGTATTATCTACTTTATAATAATTTACGTATGTTTATTGTAATATATTTACATACGACAGATTTTCGTATAACATTAATATTAATAAATACATAAAAAGTTTCACGTAAACGTAAAATATATACGACACAACTCTACACTGCTTCTGAATAGCACGGACGAGAAGACTTGAAAAAAATTATAGACATAGCATAGAAGAGAACCACAAAAAGTCGTGGACATTACCTACGTGATCATGGACATTGACCACGTAGTTCAATGTTCACATTTTGTGGACATAGAGGCGCTTACACATAAGATAATAGATAACAGGTAATTCGCGGCCTTTGCGGGCATAACCGCTCTCATCAAATTTCTCTGTGCCCTGCTCTCAGCATTCTCAGTCCTCTGTAGTTTGCCGTTATTCGCGAAAATCAACGAAAATGGCAGCCGTGTTGGACGAGGTTGGCAAATCCGCTGAAAAACTTGTGGACGAGGAGAAGGACGAGATTGTTGATGGGGAAGACAAAACCGGAGCAGCAGAAGCGTCGAAGAAGAAGAAGAAGAAGAAAAAGAAGAAGAAGGCCGGTGCGTTTTGTTCGAGTATTGTCCTCAAATGACGAACGTGTCTTCAAGTGTTACATCTCATTTTTTTGCGGCACACGGTTTCCAGTTGATGATGATTTAACGAATTTTCTATCCACGTCGTGATAGAACCAGTCACAAAGTTGTCGGGATAATTCACTCAATTATTCGTCTAAATGTTCGTCATTTTAATTCACAAGGTTTTGTTTAAATCGGCACAAATGCCTTGAGTACGTTGTTCATCATTAAGGTATTTGTATTTAAAATGGAGTAATGTAAACTTGAGAGAGAGATTTCAAGGTTTTTGGAAATTATTGCTTCTTTGAATGTAAGGTGACGTGGAAATATTTCATGTCTATGTGCATACATTGATAATTGTATTAATTGACGAAAATTCAATTTTGTGTCGTTATTGAATTTTATATAAGATTTATTTTTAATGATTGAATTAGTGTATACTAGCTCTTTGTACTTGAAATATATGAAATAGGTATATTTTTGATATTTGGCAAAAGCAATAAGAAAAGTTCTAGAGCAGTTTAGTGCTAAAATAAAAAACAAACCCTAGTTCTTTGTGACTGCCTAAAACTTTCTCTAAATCACTTCCTCTTTTTGTCAAACACTTTAAACTTATAGATATTTATTTTATTTTAAGTACAACGGTATACTAGTTCAACTACGAAAAACAATCCTAAGATTAAACGTGTAACTTTGAAAGTGACAAACTTGAAACAAATTATATGATATATATTGGAACATTATGACTTACAGGAAGAACTGCACTGATTATAACTCTTTTAAGCTGTAAACAATTTGTATATATGTATGTGTATCGAAAGCCAGCATATATATATTCAATAAAAGAATTGCATTGTTGATCCCAATGAGAAATGACAATGGAATCGATGTCGAATTGACATCAATTTGATGTTGGATTTCATTATCATTTCTCACTGGGATTCTCTATGAAATATTTATAATAGAAATGTTTATGCAGGTGCTGGAGAAGCTAGTGCAGATGTGCCAGAGGGGGAAGAAGATAAGGCCAAGGATAATAATGCAGTGGCCGAAGGTATTGTTAGTAATCTCTAGAGTCGCAATGATGGCAAATTATTCGGTTGAAATTTTTAGGCGCCACAGAGGTGACGGAGAACAACGGTGAAAGCGAAGAAGCCAAAAAGAAAAAAAAGAAAAAGCGTAAATCCAAAGATAAGGGCGGTATTAAGCAACAGACGGATCCGCCGAGTATTCCTGTGTCTGAATTGTTCCCAGACGGCAATTTTCCAGTGGGACAAATAATGGTTCACGGATTTCCTGGTATAGACGACAGGATGGCCAAAATGCGCTTCACGAGCGAGGAAGCGCGCGCCCTCGACAGAATGCATAATGATATTTATAATGAAGCCAGACAGGCAGCCGAAGCGCATCGACAAACCAGAAAGCATATCATGAAATGGGTATGTAAATCTATGTTACTACGAGAAAAAATGTTTAATTATCAAACATTACATAAATTTTTAGAATAAAGACTTTGGACTATGTTTGGCTATGTAAATAGTATATAAAGATGGTTTCCAGCAAAAACATAGATGATGTAGTGTAACACAGTGAATTTTTTATTCCTTGTTTGACATTGGCAAACAACAAAGACGTAATTAATTACTCATTTTTCACTCTTTAAAGTGAGATTTTACTTTAGAGTATAGTAGTCAGCCATAAAGAGTATGTAGACCTACTATATCATCTGTGTATCTTAGAAAACACTTGAAATCTATCTCACAGTTTCGCAAATAATAAATTTTCTTTAATGAATTTCACAGATCAAGCCGGGAATGACTATGATAGAAATTTGTAACGAGCTGGAGAATACAGCTCGGAAATTAATAGGAGAGGATGGTCTCCTGGCTGGATTGGCTTTCCCGACCGGTTGCTCCCGCAATCATTGCGCGGCCCACTACACTCCGAACGCCGGTGATCCAACTGTTCTCGAATACGACGACGTCACCAAGATCGATTTCGGTACTCACATTAACGGGCGTATTATCGATTGCGCATTCACTTTGACGTTCAATCCCAAATACGACAAGTTGATCGAGGCTGTTCGCGACGCCACCAATACTGGTATCAAGGCCGCTGGTATCGATGTGCAATTGTGCGATGTTGGTGCTGCTATTCAAGAAGTTATGGAATCATACGAGGTGGAACTGAATAGTAAAACGTATCCGGTATGAAACATGGAATGTTGTAAAGAATATCATTCTGTTCAGTTTAATTAATTCAGTTTTTTCTTGATATATATAATTTCCTAGTTATCTTTGAATAACACAAAGTGTCTTATAAGAACATAATGTGACTATCTTTGATAGTAAGTATCAGTTGATATTAACTAACATAGAGTTTTAGAAATACATGACATTCCTAGTTCACAAGTGCTTAAACTTTAATTCGACATTTAATTGCGAAAATATATGAAAACAAAAATTAATAATTAAAATCGGTGAAGATAGTGATAAGAATTTAATCGTTCACAATAATTATTTAACTAAATTTTTTGCAGGTGAAATCAATTAGAAATTTGAATGGCCATTCGATTTCACCTTACCGTATACACGCCGGAAAAACGGTACCGATAGTTAGAGGTGGCGAAGCAATCCGAATGGAAGAGAACGAATTCTACGCGATTGAAACTTTTGGATCTACTGGTAGAGGCGTGGTTCACGATGACATGGAATGTTCACATTACATGAAGAGTTTTGACGCCGGTTTCGTGCCATTGAGATTGCAGAGCAGCAAGTCTCTTCTTAACACTATCAACAAACATTTCGGTGAGAAGCCTAAAGAATGCTCGATTAGTTTAAAAAAGCATTAATTAACAGCAGATCTCTGAGCACTGGAATACTCTCTCTTTTATTTATATTTTAGGTACTTTGGCTTTTTGTAAACGTTGGTTGGATCGCGTCGGTTGTACCAAATACCAAATGGCGCTGAAGGATCTTTGCGAAAAAGGCGCCGTGGAAGCGTATCCGCCATTGGTCGATGTCAAAGGCTGTTACACTGCTCAATTTGAGCATACACTCGTTTTACGTCCCACATGTAAAGAAGTAATTTCTCGCGGTGACGACTATTAAAGTGCAGCCGTTGTTTTACAAGAATTATTATCGGATATCAAGATGTATTTTAATCTCGACATAACATCGTTGTCAAAGCATCGTACTATGCAGTGTTCGATGCGAAGAATAATCGTTGTAATACGTTAGTAACATTTCTGAATGTATTATCCGTAACTTCGGTTTCTTTCTCGATCGCAAACAAGTATCGTAGCAAGATTCGACATGGACGGTAAAAACGTATATAACAACAACAATCTAAAATATCAAATATGCGTATATCGTTTGAGAATGTGTCTCCTTCGCATTTTTCCTTCTTTTTTTATTTCTATTGATATATGTACTTCAAGAAAAAGGGTCTGTATTCGCTGTTATATGTCTCTCGCAACGTTTTTTTATCCACTTTATTACTGGTTCCTTACACATTGGAATGAAAATGACGAGGTTGATGTTTAGTGTTGAATAAAATATATTTGGAATCCGAGATTTTATCATTGCGACGATCTCTCTCCTGAATGTCTTGATTAAGTTTATGTTAAACTAAATATGACAAATGTAAGTTAACAGATACATACACGTGACAACTGTACAAAAAGAAAACGAAACATATTTTCCGTTTGTGGCTCCTCTATTAATTGGATATACACGGATATATTTCCTTAAATGCGAGTTATATATTATAAGATCCTTGTGCGGATCGCTTGGTAAATTAAAGTTGTAACAAACTTAACGGTTCACATTATTTCCGATCTAATGATGCTACGCGCACCTTTGTAAGATTTGTCAAATGTAATGAGCCACAAAATATACGTAGTTAAATTTAATATCGATACTTAAATACGATTAATATAATTGTTACTATGCAAGGCAGACGTGTCGAATTTGTTTTACTGCCACGTAACGAAGTATACAAGAACACATGGTCCCGCGGAGTTCTGACTTGTCTCTTGTCTCCTAGCGGAAACTACTTTTACTTTCAGGTGGCATCACTTTCATGTAATCGTAAAAATTATATAATTTTGTCGTTTACCTGGAAATAATATTAAGCTCGAGATGATAGCTGCGCTGATTCACGGCATCCAAAAGCCATCGCGACAAATCGATATTTTAACAATGAATCATGTGATCAGTTGCATGTTATCTTCACGGAATCGTCTATCGTGAATGAGTTTATTTATTCCGTCATGTAAGAAAATGAAAACGAAGTAATGCCACCATCAGCGATCTAAGCATCGTACAAAATACATTCTATCTACGTGCCCGAAATCGTGTCGAAGATCATGGAAAACATCGTCGTGACTTTCTGGTGAGAAGGGAAGGGAAAGGAAAGGAAGGGATTCTCGCCTTCGACACGAAGAGAACTCTTACAAGAGATGCGAATACGTATCGCAGATATCCGGGCATTCGCGACTCGTGCTCGAGCGATTAATCCTAAACACAAAATGATATCAATTTTTCTGTTTCACGACACGATAGATTTTATTATCAGTGCACAGACGAATGTGCATTGATAATAGCGATCTTTGGCAAATATCCGTCGCTGGCGATTTTTATGACACAATTTTGTACATTCTTAAATTAAAAAAAAGAATATTAATATCGCTTAAGATCAAAGGCTCGGAGCAGAGACAATTTTCTATTTGAATATAACCGGCAAATATCGTTCACAATTAAATTCTTTCGCGTTGTCTCGCCGTCTACAACTACTATCTATTGTCGATCTATATTGTGCTATTATGATCTATATCCGATGCCTTCGCGACGAAATCTCCGTCCTTGTAAGAAAAAATACGTCGATTATTGTATCCAAGTCAGCGTTAGCACGTACAATATAACTGGATTATCGCGTTTACCGTGTATAATAACGTTATCGTGTCGACATACTAATTGGTCGTCAAACGCATACTAAGCTCGACTGATCTACTATTAATAAATGAAGACACGTGGTTGGTTGTTGATTGTATTGTACATTGAGATACCCGATATGCGATACGTTTTACAAGAACCACTCGCGTGCCGCTTGATCTGAGACAATACGCATATAACACTATAATTTACGATGTCTAAATTGACACGTCATAAAGATGGTCTTAATTTTCGAGACACGATGTGTTTTTTTTTTGGTTCTTTGTGTTGTTTGGGAATGGATTTTACGACGGATTGGCGCAGCGATGTGGCGCGTTAAGTACCCACGAAACGTTCCTCGAGATAAATCCCCAGCGATCCTGCTCGTGATAACAATGAAATGCACGCTCGTTACGTTTCATTGTGTTATCTTAACACGTTTAATATTAAAACCTGACGTGTCTGTTACAACATACAACGCGCCAAATAACGCCGTTAATAATCCTTGTGTCAAGGGAATCTTATCGGGTTATGCATATGTACACTCATTGCAATCGATAAGGCGCTGAAGAGTGGAATTACGAGCCGCCCATTCGAGCGTATCATCCTCTTCACCCAGACGCGACACCGGTTTGCACGACCTTCGATCTTCACCGATTTCACTGGGACTCCGTGCGCGGCCTCAGCTTCGCTCTCGCCGTTATCAGGAGATTACTCGGTGGCTCCGTCGTCGCTCGCGATTGCTCCTGCTATATATAATATACAAAAATTCTTTATTTAATAAAAAAATTCAGCGTATACAGAATTTAACTTAATAAGTTGCATATTTGTGAATTGGAATCAAATTATATTTATAGATATATCTTTTGTGTTATTTCTATTGTTATTTGAAGTTGTATCGCCTAGCGATTCAAAGATATTAGAATTTAAGAATTCTAGAAAGGAACTAAGGTATCAAACGATCGATAACCTTTGAAAATTAAGTTTCAAAGTTTAAGAATTTTAAAAGGAAACTAAGATGTCAATCCATGATTTTTGAGAATTAGAGGATTCAGGGTTTAAGAATTCTAGAAAGAAAACTAACAATAAGATATTAAACAATCGATGATTCTCAAAGATTAGAATTTCGATAAAATATAAGAGACTAGAAGCTTAAAAATTGAGTATTTAATTTCTTTCGAGGATTTGGAAATGTGAAGATTCAGATCAGTCAGAATTCAAAACCTAAAAATATAATATGTTGATATAAAAATTTCACAAACGACGATTAACTATAATTATGTGCCCTATCTCGAATTACCGTTAGTTGAATATGTCTTGCTCTCTGCTCGATCGCCCTTTGCAAGGCAGTCCTAGGATCGTCCTTGTAACTTTCCTCACGAATCCTCTCAGCTTCCCTCCTCGACGCAGCTTCCCTCTGTTTCTCCAGGGCACGTTGCAGCTCACTTTTCTGGTTTAAGACGCTCTTGCCGCTGCAGAAAACAAAAGTATGCACAATTTAAAAGAAAAGCGATTGTAGCTGCTATAAATTATGTAACAACAATAATCTCCAGAGAGTGTAAATGCAAATGTCACGAATAAAATCAAATATACGAAATAAAATTTTGTAAAAATTCTTAATATAAATAAATAAAATACGTGTGGATTTTTGTGTGCGTGTAGTATATAATATAATATAATAAAGATACGTTCATTTAATAGACAGAGATGAACGCGTCGTAAGATTATGTTGTCTTGATCGCAAGTGAAGAAATCACGTGTGTGAATTGGCGTGAATTACGTGCCAAGGTAAAAGTCGGTAAGCGTGAACCGCTTAATTCCATCGAAGCGTGAAGAATCGCAGGTGCGGTGCGGTGCAGAGTACGAACACGATCACGTACTGATTAGACGTAAATAGGGAATTAATGTGGAAACGTATTTGATCCTATCACGATTGACCGCGATCGAAAATAAGTATACGTAATCACGTGAGAAATAATGTTTTATCAAGTGAAATTTGAACTCGTATGTATGTGTGTGATGTGTTCTACTACTCGATCACGCTCGGATTAACGCACAATAAAAGTAAATTCGTTGTATGATAGTGGCAGCTTTCATCAGGAAGTTTTTACACGTGGCTAATCGGCTTTCCATTTTCATCGCGAGTATTAATCACTTCTCATGGTATTAATTAGTATATTAATTAATTTTGAACGCCTAAGAGAAGCGATAAAATATTTACTTTAGGGAGGATCTCTCTCTCTCTCTCTCTCTCTCTCTCTCTTTCTCGTTCCGGCCTTACCGCAGACGGAATAATAAAAGAAACCGTCTGTCAAAACGAAAAACTTCTCATCAAGAATTCACAGTTAAAGAATTAATGAAATAAAATATATTCAGAGAAACTTTGTATAATGAATCTATTAAGAGAAATTTTTATATAAAAAAGACTTTAAAAAAAGAAAATATCTTACGCAATTAATTCTGTCGTAATTTTTGTAGAAAAGGAATAATATACATAGTAAGATATACATACACACACGCACGCACGAAGCATTTTTAATTTAAGTTTCCAATTTCTATAGTTTATGTCATTATTTAAATCATATAAAAAGTTTGTATTACACTTGAAGAAATTATACTTTATCTCTATTATAATGAGATACTTTTGTAGAGATTATTTATTTTCGCGTGCACGTAATGTGCCCTATACCGCAACGGTTTTGCATGCGGTAAATAGCCAATATCTCAAGCCGTTGAGTTATTTCTCTAACCCCACGCAAAAGCGTAGCGTTATGAAAAATAACGCAACGCAGTGGTAGCGCTCGTACAAATAACAACATGGAGAAACGCGCTCCCGCGCCCCACAATAAACAATTTACCACACATGTTACACAACCTGTACTATAACTTCTCTCATTACAAAATTATAGCGTTAACTTAATTATGTTAACGCTATTGCATTATATTGCGTTATGTAGTGTTGATTTAACTTTGTTTTGTTATAAAATTTTAATTAAAGAGCATTTTTTCACGACTCGGAATAATTGAGAGAACAAGAGAGTAAAAGCACACACAATTTCGTGTTTTGAAGGAACTCGACTTACATTTTCTGATTGAAAAGTAACTCCCTGTGGAGGTCCTTATGATTAGTGGAGGTAAGGCAAGGGTTATATGGTTTCCTCGGCAAGATTAGACCGTCTGGTCCCATATGAGGAGCCGGTGGTGGTGGAGGTGGTACGCCTAGAACCGGTGCCATTTTTCTTCCTGAAATAGAAAATACAACAAATTCAAAATAAACGATCATCTGAGACTCAAGCGGTGCATCATATTTGCACACAAATAGCAAGTATCGCTTTTTAATTCTAATAAATCTCCAATTCTCATACAAGAAATCGTTTTGCTTTTCCAAGAATTCGAAAGGATAAATTATAGATAAAATTGTATCATCATTTATGTCGATGGATTATTGTAGAAAGTAGACGTTTAGATCGTTGAAATTGTTTATGTTGAAAACATTATTATTAATATTAACAACACAAGAAATCTGTTCGTGTTGTTTGTGCTTTTTTTTGTACTCAGCATCTTTGCTTTGTCTCTTTTCGTTGCCCGAATATATAAAATATAATATTATATAATTTATATCTTATTTTAAGTGTAAACATTTTTTAGGATTTTAAGTAAATAGATTTAAATTATTTTTTTTTTAGTATACATATATAATATAATATTACATTATAATATAATAATTGAATAAATAATATTCAATTTTCCCGAGTTACTGAACAAATGAATTAGTTTTACTCTTTATTGCTAACATCTTTCGTTTGGAATAGAAGTCGCGTGACTGAAGTTGAATACTAACGTTCACTCATCTTTTTAGCCTGATTACAAAATTGCCACGTTAATTCAATTTTGTTTACACTATGGAATTTTCATTAAAGGAGAACTTTTAAACGCTTCGGAATAATCGAGAGAACGGGATGCGAATATTTCTCCGCTGATCCATCTACAATCCTGAAGATTAGGTGAAGTTTTGCGAATTATTTTCTTCTCGACGGAATAACGACTCGACTAATGCACACGATCACTCTCAAGTTGGTACTAAAAGTACAGCCTATGATGTAAGAAGACCAGAAATTAATTAACATTGCGCATAATAACAGCTGAATATAATTTGAAGTAAATTTCTGATTAGTGCAGGCAAATTTCTAACAGCAGCTTTATATTAATTTATAAAATTTGGGGCCAATTTCTGATGTCGTCATTATCCAAACAACACGTATGTCCGAAAAACAGAACATATAAGACGTTTTAAAGATATTAAAAGATATTAAAAGAAAACAAAAGATGTCTTAAAGGTGTATATAAAAGACATCCTGAAAACGTCTTATGTCTCGATTTTGAACTTTTGTTGTCTATATGGATAATATGAAATTGGTTCACCTGATTTTTCTTATTTCATGGTGCATCCTAGTGATAAGTATTCACCTTCCAACAACGCTATTCTCGTTCTAACTGAGCTACCCTGCTCACACATCGTCGTGGTATCGCGAGAGACTTGTGAGACACTTCCTCAGTATGTGAGACGTATCAAAGAGAGAAGTTCTATATATTTTTACAGGGCTTCGCGAGGATACAGTTGCGTTAATGGGATCAGGGGGCCGCGCAAATGGAATAGAGTCGCGGCTCAAGGTGAAACAAACGGCGTGTTTCCGTTGCGATTGAACCGGGTCGAACGTTTTAACCCTCTTTCTTCTTATAGGTCTACATTCGAAAGGCACGCGAGAAACACGACGGGTCGCTTAGGCCTAAGATACGATTAACAATCAGACAATAAAAGACTTTCGACGCGTTAACATCAGACAACATAGACAAATAAGAGAGACGCTTAGTTAAGACAACCTTGCTAATTGGACAGTTTTCAATATTAAGTTAAACATGGACTACAGGTCCAAAAAATACGGAACATTCGGGTTCAAATCTCGTATGAGATAATTTTTCGCAATAAAATTATTTACAGGTTTTAAGATGCTTATCAGCATCAGGTTATTAAGATCTCTTTAAGATATTTATGAGTATCTATGTATTGTATATTAAATTACTTGTCATTTTAATTTATGACATTATACTCTAGTTCTGCTAGGATTGCGTTTCAAGATTGAAAATTAAATTTAGCGCGCAATTTGCAGAATTGAATCAGTACACAAATTCACTAAAGATCCAGTTTGACCGTTAGAGCCTTTGTTTCTTATCTGTTGTGTAATCACATTACAGTCTTAGAAGATACTTGTTAGTTTAATACGGATAAAAAGGATGTGATAAAATTATTAAAAAGAAAAAAGAATTGGACGAATGATTACAAGGACATTTGCCACGACGTTCGTCTTGCGTGACCGAGTGTATGTTCTACTTCCGTTCTCTTTACCAGAGAAGACGTAACGCGTTTTCAGATAAAAATCGAATCGTTTCGAAATCATAGCTTCACGCTGAGGAATCGCGCAACGAGATTTTGTTTGCTGTCGAATGTGTGTTTTGTATCACGATTTTTGTCGATACGCGCTGAAAAGGTTCGCCTACCTTCTGGCAACATATTATAGTCGTCCGTTTGCTTATCATTGTTTATTTAAGATTATTTATCATGGTGCTACCAGTATAGATTGATACAATAACATGTCATTTCTGTCAAGATAACATTGTAAAATTTCCAGTCAAGTGTTGAAAAACTAAAATGACATCTTTCAATTTACGTATTTAAATTGATTTTTAAAATGTATTCGTTTGTATCGACGAAAATGTTATTATTAACATTAGTTAATATTAACAAAATTATATTATTGAATTAGTATAATATGATATAATTATTATTAGCGTTAAAATATAAATGAAATACTATTCACTTTTGCATTTTAAAGATTAAAAAAAAAATACCTACATACCTATGATGTGTAACGTAATAAATTGAGGATCGCGATTTACTTGCAAATTCCTCATGCAAATTGCGAGTTCGAAATATTAGAAGCAGCTCGCGTTAAAGACAATATTATTTTTAGCGCCACGGAAAAACGAGCAAATTTATTTCGAGCTGCCCGATGAAATGTTCGATCGAGTCACGAAATGAGGCCGCGAAAGTGAGCGAACGTTTCGTTCACGTGCACCACACGAACTGCATACGCGATTTTATGGAGACCCGGTGATAAGAAGAGGTCACGATATTTAATCAAGAGTGACCTCAAATTAGAAATGTGGATAAAAAATCCAAATTAAATGCATAAATTAATTAATTTTATCGTTAAGTGTGCTCTTCTATTGAATTTAAAAGTTGTCGTAAATACTACGCGTGCAATGGAGAAAACGCTCTTTCCGCTTATTGAAAAAATATAGGATATTGTCAGGGAAAACATTTCTCTTAAGCCTCTGTTATATTCACAGGCGGATGCTTTGTTTATTTATTCGCAGTCATTGACTTACCACGGCGGTGCATTGATCCGAATTTTTGAAAGCATAAGATAAGCCAGCAATACTTAAGTACATATAGTATGCAACGCATCATTAATGTAGATAAGTGTGCAGCACCAAGATAAGCGCGAGTATTCGAGTCTAACAATTATAATAGATATGAGCGCACGTAATCATTGAATGATGAATGACTGAAAGTATATCTCATTTTTTAATCTTTCTTTTCAATGCCAAAAGATATTCAAATCGCATGTGTAGTAAGGACTTTCTCAATAAAACAAGACTGCTAATTGCTTCATACGGCAGCTGCAGTACTTTACTACCATCTCTCGCATCGAGTTTACATTAATACTTTTAACAAAAAACGTGACAAGTTTTTTGTATATCATATTTGTAAAATGAAGTTAAAACTTCATATTTCCACTAGAAAGTACGTATAGTATAATTTATTTGATAAAAATTTGATTGATTATCACGTGCTGCGCTTTTACACGTAAATTCATAATAGACGTTCATTTTAATTTACAGTGTTTTGACTTTACTCGGTATTCGTGTATTTTCATCGAACAATGTTTGGTTTAAATTTATCGAAGCATGATGTACAGAAAGATGACGTTATGCATGACAATCGAAATCGGAAGCCCGTTACGCGATCACCTACTTACGCACGTCGTGCATCGTCAGCCTCGCATAGAAAATAATCACTGATCCCGATTCAATTTACAAGAGATTGCTACATAAGTTAACTTAACACTTATGTATGTGCCGACCCCATGAGAGATATATGCTTTTAGTAATGAAAATTTCTACGACTTGATCGTACATTAAATTCACGATTAATGCAACTTTTTAACTTACTTAAGCCACTGATAAGATGTTTTTCTCTACGTGAGTAGAGAAAAATCAATATAATATATTAATGTCTCTTATTTATCCATCTATTTATATCTTATTTACTTATTCATCTTATTTATTATTATCTTTTTAAGAAATAACGATATTATCATGCGATTAAATTTTTATTATAATACCAACTATTAATATAAAATACACAAACAAACAATTTTTATGTTTAGGTACATCATAAAATGTTTACCCAAAACATTTTTTATGTTGAATTAAATAGAGAGAGAGAGAGAGAGAGAGAGAGAGAGAGATGCTAATAATATTAAATATTTTTATAACATTTTTAAACAATCTTGACGTTTATTTATCAGTTTATACGCTAACGATTTCTAACGATTGTTAAACGTATATTGGGGACTGTGTTAAGTACTTGGATAGTTGATTCATTGTTCACATTATATAACGTGCAGTTGAAATAAATTAAAATTAACATCTACCTATTAAGTCTGCATTTTGACAAACTTTAGCAGAATCTCGACTATCTCGAAGATTCAGAATGAAAAATACAATGCCTTAAAAAAAAAGTTGTGAAAAACGGCATAAATCGTATTCCGTCGAGTGCTCTTTTATTGCTCATTCAGAACTGAAAAGAAGTTGATAATGCAAAGCCGAAGAAAGTGCATGCAAGTAGCAGGATAACACGATTATATAAGAACGCATGTGTCACGTTAACCACTTTATTGCACTTCAACAGAAATGATTGAATTTCAATCGACCGCGTGCGTAAAGTCACACGGTGATATAATTCTTCTATACACGATTACGTTTCGATTCGACTAAACGTTGCACAACGCGTGCTATATAATCATAAATTAATAAGATTTGAAATAAATTGTCAGGATTTATTGAAAATCCTCTAATCATACGTTACATCAAACGATAATAAATGCATGAATCGATAT